ATTGTTTAGGGAACTACATTTAAAATTTAATATCTAGAAATCAGAGCCATTTTTAGATTACGTAGTGAGAAGATTTTTTGAGGCATAGGTACTCGTATTACGTGTTGGAAGTTGGCATTTTACATATTTCTCAGCTGTTTTACTTGGCCGACTCGTTTTATTTTAACTTTATCGATCACAAAATATTATAACATTGTAAGTAGACCAAAGAAATCCGTGTCTATGAAGTTCCATGGTGTCAACTAATATTTTTTTTTGTCTACCGTTTCTTTCGGTTGATTCCGATGACTAACTGCGCAGTGACTGCAATTAGGCGTGACGCTAATACACAGACGGATCGTGCTGCAAAAATCGTAGAGCTTCACGGTTATTTAGAAAATGAATTTAATTTGGGACTTTTAATTAACTTGCCAAATCTTCAGGACGGCGAAGCATGCATTTACTCGGACAAACTCAAATGAATTTTTCTCGAATAAGAGAAGTGAATAAAAACCTCCTTTTTTGTGTTTAGGATCCAGTGTCCTACGAATTTAATTTGACACCACTGTACTAAAGCGGAAATACAATCCCGATAAGTTGAATAACAATTTAAGTACCTTTTAAAGTTAAATTTACTGTTTTTAGTATTATTTGTCATAAGATGTCAACAGTGCACGTGTAAAGCTTAATGCACGTTTAAAAAAAATCGCTAGAACAGTATTTTTTTACTGTCTCCATTATTTGTTAAAAAAGGTTTTCAACGATACCAGTGTGTGTAATCCAAAAATGAAAGTAAATAAAACTAAGCGAGTAATGTTAAAAAAATAAGTAATATTAAAGAAATGAAAATAACTAATTATTTTATTAAGTCGCCATTTCACAAATTGGTTATGACGTTACAAATGTATATTGTGTAAGAACTGGCAGAAACATTTTTACCGTACGCGTATGAAAGTTATTTTCTGCAAATATTTAGTGGGATAAGAATAATTTTTATAGAACATTTCAGTCAAAAAAAAAAAAAACGATGCAGCAATGGTAAAATTGAGACCTACAACGACGCATTGTAAACGTTAAAATAAGGGCGAGGCCGTCTCTGGTATCGTACACTAGGCCCTTCCTATTCCAAATTAATTAACCTGTGTCGTAATTCGTCTTTGCTGCATAAGAACCGATAAAAGCCACAAGGCGCACGCGTACTACCCAGTACTTCTCGCTTTGTTTATAGTGGCACCGGCATGATCATGATGGCAATGGCATAGCCATTGTAGCATTGTAGCTGCAGAAGCTGTGTGAAGGTTTTTATGATTGAAGCACATTTTCTCGGTAGATAAAATCTTGATTCTGCGAGAATTTGCAGCTTCCGAAAGGGATGGCTCATAGAGAAAATTGTACATAATATGGAATGAAACAGAAATCTTAATAATTTCAATTTAAGCTATGTGCAATGCTAATAATGAAATTAATATTTTTGTCATAATATTGAAAATTCAGCAGAAATTATCTTGTAAATAGGCACCTACTAAGTATTTTTAAGATAACAGGGATCTTTATTAATTTATTCTTCTGACCTGGTTGGTCCAATTTATTTAAAACTGTTACTAGGTACCTACCTATTTTTATTTAAAGAAAAAAGGATTGAGTACATTAATTTTTAAAAGAGATTGAAACTAAATTCTATCAAACTGAAATGTTTTACAAATAACAATATTTAATGGTTCGAGTCTTTACAAATGTGCTGTTAGAATTACTTCTTTATAAACAGCAAATTGACATCTTCAGTTACAAATGTTTTAAGAAATAATACATTGCACATTATAGTGAACACCTTTTAGTATACTACTAGTAGTCATATGGTACCTACTTATATGTAACAAATTAGTTGAAGAAAAATTGGGAATATTCTTACAGTAACATTCGTTAGGTACTAGATACTAAAGTTTAAAAAATTATTCTACATATTATTACTTTAAAAAATGCTTACTTTGCATAAGAATTATATTCGCTAAGCGATAGCAAAAAAAAAAATAAAATAATAAATTGATATTACCTATACCTAAATGGTTTGGTTTAGGTACCTAGGTATTTGAGTTATTTGATTTAAACGCAATGTTGTTATTTCAGCAAAGTTACAATCAAGTTACATTTTCGTCATGTAAAGCGTAGAGGTACTTAATCACTGCTTCGTCCATTTTACTAAACAATATTTAGGTATTCATGTATTTATTATTTACCTACTAATTTTCAAGATTTGGGCTAGTCAAAATAATTTAAATACTGCCTCTTTGCACAAGTTGTAAACCTCATAAATAAGTATATGAAGTATCTAAAGGAAAAAAACATTAAACGCGTTTAAGTTGTAGATATCTACTTAAGTAGGTAACTAGGTACGCAAAAATCTATATTATATCGTTGCTTTCATCTTTGATACGACAATAAATAAGTGTATTGTAATGTAAAACGTAGTAGGCCTAACTAAAATATTTACAATAGGAAAATGACAGATGATTTTTTAAAATTAAAATGTGTGACGCCGGTTTCAATCTCTATGAACTCTGAGCCTGGGCATATTTTTATAACACTGTAACTGTTTATCATCGTACTTCAGAAAACGATTAATAGGTACAAACACGTGTTTCTATAAATGCCAAAAAAATAATTTAGGTTTACTGTAACAAAAAAAAGGATTGATAACATTTGTTTAAAATTTCCAGTCGCTTACAGCTTTTCCAAAAAAAAATCGGCTGTAATTATTGATCATTATAACTAATGCAGCTACCTACTTCCTCCAACGCTATTAATAAGCAGACCAATTCACTAACTGCTCAGAAACAGTGCAGAATATTATTAAAATTTGGATATTACGCAATAAGCATCGCTCCGTATATCAAAATTTATGTTATTGAAGGATCTTAATTGTAGACCCGGTTGTAAAAAGTCAAACATTAACATTGACACACTAGTCAAAATTGTCAGTGTTATCGAATACATAAAAAGTTTAAACTTACAACTATGTAAGAGCAGGAACTCCGTAAAGTAATTCCCTTGTACATATTTAACATTTCGACGTGTTCAACAAAACGCACAAGACTCACTTTCGAGAACTTATCATCACAAAACGTTTAAATTACGCGAAAAGCGACAACTGCCATGTTGAACTGGTGGAGTTCAGCTGATTGGCGAAGACACGCCCACTTATTTATTTCTGGCATAAACAAAACCGGTAGCGTTTCCAGCAACATGATCGCGTTGTCCTTTCTGGGGGTCTGCCTTTCTTGAACCACTCCATGGAAATTGTACGAGCAAAAGCGTAATAAAAGTGCGTCGCAGAAACAATAAACTTGCACGGCAAACCTTGGACCCGAATAACAAAGAATATAGCGGAAAATTGTAGAAAACATTATCTCGATCTATTATTACTTCCAGGGAGAGTAGTCTCCATGATTACTTCGATTATTTATAAAAAAATAAAGGTGTCTATTGAAAATTCAACCTGAAAGATTGTTACGTAATTCAAATAAAATAAAAACAAGTACATAGTTGATGCCGAAGATTAGCGCGCGCATCCAGAAGCTTATTGGCGGCAAACCCTAATGTTAACCCAGTTGCGCAACTTGACAATGTTGCAATCTGCAATTTCAAGCCGATCAAAACGTTTGAAGGCGTTGCACCTAAAATAATTAAGAATATGCTACCACGAACATTGAAGAGAGCACGAGCGCAAAAGCAATTTTATTTATTCAATTGGCATCTGTTAACTTTCACGATTGACCTTGACTGGAAAACTAAAAAAACTACGCACTTTAGAAAGCCCAAATCCAACAAATGGATTTATTCCAATAAAAACTTGTTTCATCATTTCTGCAAGACTGCCCACTGGGGCATTTTGCGAAACATTTGTTGTTTCTGTTAGGAGATATTTATAGACGATAAATAGGTACCTATGCGGTGGCAGTGTTAACATGTCATGATTATCGAACGAAAACGAGGTGAGATCCTCTAGTACTGTCTGTCCACTCCAAGTCCTCAGAATAAATGACTTACATGTTATTCATCATGTGCCAGTTAAGTGATACGGTTCAAATTTCGTCATCGAGCTAGTCTTAGCGCACTTATTAATTAAAATGCACCACAAATAAGTACTCATCTCGCTAGGTTACTGTGCTCTTCGCACCAAGTCTACAACATTACAATTTGCGTATCTGATCTGTTATGTAGATATGTGATGTTGTGTTATTTAACACTGGCAACGTCGGTTGCCCTCCAATATAGTGGCCACGTTGCCGATGTTACGGAGACAGGAATTAAACATATTCCTGCAACACCTTTGTATGAGTAATAAGTTCAATGGCAACGTTGCATGATAAGTTCGCTCCCGCGAGCAAGAAACCCGGGCTCTTCATTGGGCGGTCTCGGAATCGATAGGAGAGTGGAAGGGCAGGGAACCGGACGTAGCGAGCACTATTGCCAGCGATTGCCCCTAAACAGAAAGCTCTTAAAGGCGATAATCGCGTAAAAATCTTTGTCAGTAAACAAATACAAAATGTTACATGAGAATTTCGTAATTCTCTTAAAATCCTCATATAGCTTAGAAATGTGTATCGAAGTATAATCTACTTGACTAAAATCAACCGAAATGATCATGATATTTTGTAATGCGTTCAGTCTTGGAACATAAAAAACCGTGTTGCTTACTAATCTTTTATAACACGCTTTCCGTGGTTGCCAGGTCAAGTGTTTGCAACGTCGCCGACAACAAACACCTAAATTTGGTATTAACTACAGCCAATATTTTCAAAATTTTTAAATTGAAGATTTCGAGGAAAAAGCCTCGAACGTCCAACCTCCCACTTTGAAAAATGCACTGCTAATTTTGGAACACCCGAATTAGTCCGATATTTATGAAACATTCTTTGATTAAACAAAGAATCATTTTAACAGAAATAACAAACTTACACAGATTTTCACACATTTTTAAAGTATAGTAAATGTGCCAATTATAAGTTAAATATTTTACTCACCTCAATGAAGCCTCCGTGATGTGGAAATTCCCAATTCTTAACTTTTGTAGAACCACAACTTTGTCTTTTAACAGGGATACTGATTTTTCACGAAGAACAAACAATTTTACACTTGAATTCATGAAAAGAAAATTCTGACACATTCTGTTACAACCTCCCAGAACGATGACCGATTGGCGACTGGCTGCTTTAAAATCTTCGAAGCTTGTTTGGACGAGTTCAATTTTGGTACAACCCGCCAGGTAGGAGGCGTCTTGCAGAGATTTGAATCATAAAGCTTTAACATATAAAATCTTCAAGAAAACGGAAATTCTACTTTTCGTTGTGTAACTTTCTCTACTTAGACATTTCCACATATGCCTAAGTTTCAAATTATGTCTTTGACATTTTCTTCGAGACACCCCCTTACACTTATGGACTAAGCAGAGTTGGTTTCATTCATAGTTCAAATACTAACTTGTTGGGGGAGCCACTATTTTAAGTTTAACAAGTTTTACATTTAAAAAAAAGCGCCACTTTGTTATAACTATTATTTTTAGATAATAAATATTGCTGTACATATTTGGATATTAAAAACTATGTATTTTTTAAAAAAATACGCGATCTTGTTGAATACTATTTACCTATATAGGTACTATTGTTAATATCTTCTTTCTTTTGTCATGATTTATTGTCACATTAAATGCACAGATATTTTGAATAAAATACTTGGTATGTTGCCTATTACATTTTATATCTCGTATTACTTTATATTAAAAATCAAAAGTTGACATTTATACACGTATTTAATTTTATTTATCTATAACCTTACAAAAATTCATATAGATTGTTTTCCTATTGGCCCGTAAGAAATTATCAGTAGGATTAGTAGGAGTATTTTATCCAATCGCAATTCGAATACGTGTCAACACCAATCCAAGCTTAGTGTAGTTTCAAAGTTGTGATGAAAAAAGTTGGATAAAAATATCTTCATCTGAGAACTTTTTAGAAATTATAAAACAATGCAGTATTTTTATTTTATATTTTCATTTTGTTTTTATTATACATGGGCCCAGTCTCTAGTTCATGAGGTGAAATATGATCTTAAAGAATTAAGATGTTTAGGTAAGAAATATATGCATTAAAAATGTTCAAAATCTATTATAGTTTTTGTTATAGTCTGCCAAAAAAGTGTAGTTGAATTAGATTTAGAAATAAGTAAAATTGACCCGGATAGCACTATAGATGTAGGGGGTCATCGATTAGATGTTGATGGTAACTATAGACACAAATCCATATCACAAGCCAAATCAGAATTGCACCTTTCTGAACTAATTGATGAAGTATGTAACAAAATGGATAACTATGTACGAGCTCTTTGGAAGTCAAATGGAACGTTAACATTATTTTCCATGTTATCTCCTGAAGGTATCATGAATGCCGACTTCGATTCAGTCGATCTTATCCAAGATGAAGATTTAAATAAAAGTTTAAAGTACTATGTAAGTAGTTTTTAAAAAATGTAACAACTAATGTTAAATGTTTTTTGTATTTCTAGTGTGAAGGTATTATGGAAGAACATGAGGAAGCCCTTATTAAGATGTACCAAAATGATTCTCCAGACATAAAAACACGATTTTGTTTCACCGAGACTGGTATTTGCCCAGCCACAAAGAAGAATGAGGAATTGTGATTGTTATTAATCAAATAGAAGTTTTATGTAGTTATAGATACCAGTTTTAAAAAATATATATTTGTTATAAAATAAAAATAGTATTATTCTATATATTTTACCAACATTTATATTCTTTCATTGACCATTTTTGAGTAACTTGAGTAATTTAAAAATGGTCCACAAAATAGATGTCACATTTGACATTTAACCATAACCTCAATTTTTAATTTCAGTGAAACCAAACAATCTACTCTTAATAGAATCTCTGAATATAGATCTTTAAAGTACTTGAAGTGGAAGCTTCAACAATTTATCATATATAAATTGTCGAAGATGTTGTTGAAATTGATTGTACATTGATAAAGTAAAACAATATAATTTTTTTCGTTTTTGAGGTTACGTATTTTAAATATTTTAAGATCAACATGACAGCTTTCGAAGGAAATATATCTGTCTACAAAACAATATCTATTCTTGGTCAAGGCTTTGATGGTGCAGCTGTAGTACACTTGGCTAAACATTTACCTTCTGGTACAATGGTTGCCATTAAAAGATTTGACATGGACAAAATTAAAGAAGGCGCTCATTTAGTAGAGGTAAAAAGAAATATTTACCCAATATAAGGTAATTCTCCTTATCAGATTAATATGTAATCTGATAAGCTGATTTATTTATGAATGTGTTTTGGTTTATTTTGGTAAAGAATATTTAGAACAAATTCGCTACTTATAAGAGATTCACTGAGATTTGACAGGGAACTAGATCGGTCAAGTTGTCAATGACCAATCAGTTTATAATCACGATAAATGTACAGTGATATGTATAATAAATGAGGAGTTGATTTTCAAAACGCAGTTCTCGACTTTGGTTTTCAAAACTCATTTATTTCGTATTAAAAAAAGTTTTAAACAAAATACTACAAAAAATATTTTCTAATGTCAGGTGATTAATACACTTAATTATTATTATCTTTATAGCACCAACAATTTTCCACATATGATTATTACGTAATAATCTCAAAATGTATTATGTTTCAAAAACTGCGTTTTGAAAATCACCTCCTCAAATGTATTAATATCAAAATTTAACGTTATTTTGCATTATTAACAATTCTATAAACATTAAGCATTTTCTTATTTGACTTACCAGTTTACCAAACTTCAATTTGTCCCATTAAATATATCTGTTTTTAAATGTTTTTTTAAATATTTCATTAAATGTAATTAATTGTATTTTAGAGAGAAATTATTTTAACTAAACAGCTGCACCACTTGAACCTGATATCATATCATACTGCTTTTGTCCATGGTCCAGAAGTATGTGTAGTCAGCCCGCTGATGGCATATGGATCTTGTAGGGATTTACTTACAAGGCATTTTAATGAAGGTATGGCAGTTGCTTGGAATTTACATTGGTTTGCTAGATCTTCATTTTATAGGGTTACCAGAACAAGCCATTATATTAATCACTAGAGATATTTTAGAAGGTCTGGGCTACATTCATAGGAAAGGATATATTCACAGGTTAGTTATGTTTCATTTATAAAAAAATCTTGATTTGCTATTGCCGGAATAAATACTATATATGTCAAGATACCTGTTAAGCAAATCACGAGGCAAAACCTTAAATTTGTAATTACAATTTCATTCTTTTTAGGGCAATAAGAGCTAGTCATGTGTTAATCTCAGCTTCTGGAAGAGTATGTTTAGCTGGTTTAAGATATGCTTGCCCCATAGTTATAAATGGAAGGTGGCAAAAAAGGATTCACTCATTTCCTGCCAGTACAGAAAGGAACCTAAATTGGTTAAGTCCAGAATTACTTGAACAAAATCTTCAAGGTAAAATGTTTTTTTCTATCATGATATCGTTCACTTTATATATTTACATTATTTGTATTATTTAGCTATTAATTTCAGTCTTCCCTTAATTCATTGTTTTAGGGTACAATGAGAAATCTGATATCTATAGCGTTGGTATGGTGATATGTGAATTAGCAAATGGAACAGAACCATTTGCTGGGATGTCAAAGACATTAATGTTGACAGAAAAAGTCCGTGGCTGTGCTCCACAGTTGTTGGACTGCACTACCGTTCCAAGGGATGAAAATATAGATTGTAGTGGTATGAATAATTTCTTTCTCCAGTGTATTTCATAATTATGTCCCAAAGAGCAGGATATGTATTACCTTTGTTTATTTATAATGTATTTAGACAACCACCAAGCTTGGGCATGACAACATCAAATGATGACACTCTTGTCATCTTTATTTGTACCTGCTACAAATAATGATGACCAGGAATGTTGCCATCTGTTGTTGTCAATCACCAAGTTTGATTGATTGTCTAACTTCATTATTATATAGACAATATACAGGGTGTATCAGGATTAAGTGACAATGTCATATGCCTCAAGTCAAAAAAAGTAAAAAAAATAATATGAACGTAGGGCCGAAAACATTTCATTCAGATATAGGATTCCAAAATAAATATTTTTAACATCTTGAAAACAATTGGAGATATTTAGATAAACTTGATGTGATTTATAATTAGACAGTTTGTCGGTATATGTCTCAATAATAGGTTCGTTCCAACAAGGAATTCAGAAGTAGTTCAGAATCAGTAATGAGTTAGTTATTGTGTACACATGCGCTCCATAAGTACTGATTATGAACCAGTCCTGGAAATCGTGTTGGAACAGTTTATGAACTATCACATGTCTATCGTATGTCAAGTTAATCGAATGCCTAAGAATATCGAAATCCTCTTCTTCGCTCAACTCGGAAGCCAGTAAATCATCATCTAAATCACTCACATTAAAATACATTATAATCACAAAATATAGAGGTTATAAGTATAATAACTCTATGATTTTGTGTAGTCAAAGCGCATGTTCAAAGAAAAGTTCTAGTTCCCGCTCAGGACCAGGTATCGATTTCACCGGTTCTGAATCAGTTCAGAACTAGTTCGATCATTGTTGGAACGCTGTAAGTGCTACTACCAGATTCTGTTCTATATCTGTTGGAATGAGAATTTCGTTCTGCGCAGTCTCTGTCCGGTTCTGAACCAATTCTCTTGCCTGTTGGAATGAAGCTAATAAGTATTACCAGTAAAGGAGATAAAGGTAGGTCCAATTAATTCCACAAATAAAATAGTACAGCCCCATACTAAAATTGATAACTGATACCATTTTTCAATGTAACATTTTATCCTGGTTTCAAATTGTCTCTTGGGTTTCATTTCACCGTTTCACGGCAAACTCATTATGTGTGTGAAGTTATTCATCTTATTTGTTAGTGGTTATTATTTAAGGACATATCGACGCTTTAGTACGAAAACATGCTATCTCAGATTTCGGTTGGAAAACATGCTATCTCAAATTTCAGTTGGAAAACATGCTAACTCAGATCTCTAGGTAAAAATATGCTATCTCAGTGTGACTAGAAATTTAAGTTGGCACATTGAATGATTGAAACCGTGCATTTATAATAAACTTATATAATATATTTTTAAAAAAGTAAGGAATGTTTATGTTCAGGTACACTGTTTATTTTATTTTTTTTTATTCGACATTTTGTAATTAATTTTGTTAAGTTACTGTTATAAACGACAAAATTGTTAATTAAAAAAATAGAATAATATGCAGTATGCTGCAACATGTATGTACATTACTCGACGTTTTTTGAAATAACAAATTATAAAAAAAAATAGTGTAGGTAAGAGTGCGCTATTAATTTTTATATCAAAGCAAACTTGAATGAATAAAATCGAATAATTTTTAGTAATAACAAATATTTTTATATATTAAGGTATACACTATTTTTTTTATAATTTATTATTTCAAAAAACTTCGAGTAATGTACGTGTTGCAGCATGCTGCATATTATTCTATTTTTATAATTAACAATTTTGTCGTTTACAAAAATAACTTAATAAAATTAATTGAAAAATGTTGAATAAAAAAAATAAAATGAACAATGTACCTGAACATAAACATTCCTTACTTTTTTAAAAATATATTATATAAGTTTATTATAAATGCACGGTTTCAATTATTTAATGTGCCAACTTAAATTTCTAGTCACATTGAGATAGTATGTTTTCCAACTGAAATTTGAGATAGCATGTTTTCCAACCGAAATCTGAGATAGCATGTTTTCGTACTAAAGCGTCGATATACGTAGGCTACTGTTTAATAATGTCAAATAATTCCTCAGTAATAAGTAAGACATTGTTGTTGAGTGTAACTTTATTCATAATGCCATCAATATTTTCAAATTTTGAATTATTTTTTTGGAATCGTAACACTCCTTGTCTCGAAAAAGAAGACTTTTCGGCTTTATGTTTACATACATTTTTTAACATATGTTTACCTGAGGAATGTCTCCTTAGAGTTTGTTGACTTAATCCTATAACACCCTGTTTAAACGTTTATAGATCACTTATTAGTTGATTATCACATGCTATTTGCTAACCATCATTCGTCATTTGTGGTTGTCAGTGGTAATCATAAACAATGCAACAAAGGTGAAAAATAGAAACCAGAAACTGATAACCGAATTATTTATTTGTTGTTTCACAACAGTACCCGACAGTTATTATTATGATAATTTTATTACTTAGATTTATTTAATAGGTTATTAAAACTCAAGCGTTCACTTAAGAGCGTCTATGTGCAAATCATGGGTATTCGCCCAGTATCTGCAGAGAAGTTTCATCCACCAAGTTACATCCTCGGGAAACCGGGCTGTTTAAAAGCCTCATCTTATAAGTATCATGTTATAAGTCTTATCCCGTCACATTCCTGGGTTGAATTTTATTCAGGCTTAGCAACTCATTCGTTCTTTTCTGCAAAGACCGAATGTGACTTTTGGCCGAATCCGAAGCCGAACTTCGGTTATGGGTCACCTTCAGCCGAAGCAGAAGATATTTTTATTAACTTGAAAATTTTAATTAATAACGAAAACATGATAAGATAACATAAAAGTAGGTCAAAAATAAATGCATGTTTTGGAAATATAATATACATTTCAAATGGAAACAAGCCTACAAAAATGATATTTATTATCCAATTTATTTCGGGTTTTTTCTAAAAGATGGAGCAGTAAAAATTCTATTCTAGCGCAAAATATTAAAATTTGATTTCTATGTTCAAGACCTACTTCGAATTTTTTTCACTGTCAAATTTTATAAAAAGTGTTTAGCGATTTTTTTATTTCAAATTTAACTATGGCACTGGATTCAGCATCCGCTAAAACAGTCTAGTGCCAAATTTCGTAAATACATAGATACATAATAATGAGGGATTTATAACAATTTTAATATATGCTTCATTTTATTAAATACTGTTGTAGTAATTTTCTGAAAAAATGTTGGTTCTCAAATTATTATTATGAAATTTATTATGATTTAAAAAAAAATGAGAACTTAATTTTGTGCTTTTAATATAATAATACAATAAATTTAACATCACAATACAATCTCTTACGAATATTCCTTTGAACATCCTTGTGGCAGGCTAAATTCTTCACAAGCTTGCATGATTCTTGCACACAACTCTTTTCTATTGCCTAATCGTGACTTATAAACTTTGGATTTTATGACACACCATAAAAAGAAGTCCAATGGCGTTAAGTCCGGGGACCTGGGTGACCATTTAATTAGGGGGCTATTTCTACCTATCCATCGGTTAGGAAAGATAACATGAAGCCATTCGGTAAGCCATTGTGGATATAACATCCATCTAACTGAAATTGAAGACTTACTTTTTCTTGTACTGGAAGTTCATGTAATATATTCCAAAATTCATTTCTTAGGAATTGCATAAACTGTATGCTATTCATATTACTCTAAAAAAAAGGCTAATGATCGGTTTATTGAGTCATTTACAATTAATAACCGACTCTGGTATTTCTGTAGCCCAGTACTAGAATTTTGTGACTATACCTTACACTATTAATTGTAAAAGTTGCCTCATCATTGAATATAATAGTTTTTAGAAGATTTCTATTCTTGAGATACTCTCCTTGAGCCCATAAGCAAAATTCCATCCTCCTTTCATCATCACCAGTTTCCAAGGTGTGTAAAAACTTGTGTTTGAACTATAAAAATAATTTGGCTATAAAAATAATTTGTTCTTCATAACACTCTTATCAGTTTTCTATGCTTGGTGTACGACGGGACAATAGATTTGTGATTTGTTAAATCAAATAAGTCTGTATAGTTACATCGCAAAAATTACATTTAAAAAATATTTGTAAATGATTTCAAAAGTGCATCAACATAAATAGTGACTTAAAAATTAAAATAAATTGTATTATCATGTTTCAATTTTAGTGAAATGCTTTTTCAATTGTTATTTCACTTATTTATTTAAATACCTAATTATTATTAACTGTTAATTATAAATTTTTACGTTTAATATGATTAATTAAATTAATTTCTCATTTTTTTAAATCATTTTTCGTAGCCAAAATTTTTTATAAAATTGCTATAACAAACAGTACCTATTTAATAAAATAAGCCTACAATATTAAAATTGCTATAAATCTCTCATTATCAAATATTTATTTACGAAATTTGGCATAAAACCGTTCCAGTGCCATTGTTAGATTTGACATAAAAAAATCGCTAACCAGTTTTTGGAAAAATTGACAGTGAAAAAATTCGAAGTAGGCCTTGAACATACAAAACAAATATTAATATTTTGTACCAGAATAGAATTTTTACTGCTCCATCTTTTAAAAAAAACCCGAAATAAATTGGACAATAAATACCATTTTTCTAGGCATGTTTCCATTTGAAATGGGTCACACTGTATATAGGGTGTTAATTAAATATGTACAATAAATTCAACAGACGATTATTTGAGTGATTTTAATACAAAAAGTTCATATAAACACTAGTCCGCATTATTTGTAGTGTTAAGGGGCTAACTTAACCCTAATTTGATTAGATTTGTTAAGTTCAGAGGCGTCCCAAATGGTACCTTCGGCTTCGGCGAAAAGTTCGGCTTAATTTTGGCCGAAGCCGATTCTTAGCCGAAGGTTTAATTAATGGCCGAATGTGGCCGAAGCCGATTAATCAGTCGGTTTCTATACAGAACTCAGCATGACTTTGTCCTGGTCTGGAAGCTCAATATTTCCTATGTTCTGACTCTGTCTTCTTTTCTAAGGTTCTTTTATAAACGCATTTTGTTTTGGTAATTAAATGTCTTTTCGTTAGCGTTCCTCAATAAATCATTATCATTATTTATTTTTTGCTCACTAATTTGCGAATAACTTGATAACAAAAAAGATATCGAACCCTTTTTGTTGTCAAAAAGAAGCTACTTTTATGCTCTTCAAACTAACCTATAAAAAGTTTTATCCTGCTATTTCACTTTTCTAAGAAAATGTGAAACATTGTAAACATGGATAAATAGCACCAATAAATAAACACATTTGTTAGAAATTTGAAACCTATACTATATTCATCAATTTTTTGTGCTCAATTCATTTATGTAAAGAAAACTATAGCATTGCAATTAAAATTTTCGAGAAAAATCCATAAAATACCATTCTTTTGAAATAACATCGTCTAAGGTTTCCATATTGAGGTAAATGACATTTCGTGTTCACCAGGAGATGAAGCATGAAAAGACCTTTATATATATGTATAACACTATGGGCTTTTGATGAGCCAATCTTTAAAAAAAAATATGCGTTTTTCTGATCAGACATTGGGGGCTTCCCCCACCCTTTCTGTCGAGAGATAGAACAAAATGTCAATAACAAAATTTATGCGCAATGAATCTGGCTATCCATATTTGTACTATTTAATATACCTGAATGGGAAACATTTCTGAGAAAAATTCAACTCTATGTTTTGGTATGTAGATTGCGCCTTCTAGCGGCCGAGCTACGAACTTGAAAACTATTTGCAGCAATTTCTCTTGGTCGATTTATTAATCAAAATTTTTTTCCCGAAGCTCTAGGTCTATACTTTCTCTAATATCGTACCTCCCCGACCTTAGTGGGACACCCTGTACATATCTTACAATACCATGGGACTAAAGTGCATTTTTTAAATCCAAGGTTTGCTATTTTTCTGTTTTATGAAAAAAAATTTATGTTGATTAAAATTTTTTTATTTCGATATTTATCTCTTTCATGGGAAAATATCATTAAAGTGAAAAGTAACAATAAGATATGAATGATACAATTATATAATTAATTATAAATTGTAAATACTAAATGATCAGTACCTAACCGTTACCAAAAATAGGTACTATCCTTGAAGGTAATCTATATTTAAAAAATTCGTATACAACTATATAACAATTATAAAAATACCTACTTTAAAATATTCACAAAAATAATCTAATGTTATTTCTAATTTTGAGTGGCCTTGTAGAACAATATTATTCAGTAATTGTCTAACCGATTAAAGCTTCATCTTCATTTGTTTACTGATTTGATATAGGACAGGAATATAAAATCCTCACCACGTTACAAGCTGGTTGCACACAGGCGTGCTTGTTTAATATACAAGGTGATTCAGTCATAATGTCATTAATTTTAACCACATATTTGAAAGGAAGAAAAAAAGTGAAACAGCCGATTTCCCCAATCGTGTTGAATTTAGCAATTGGTTTCAAAATTAAGGTTCAGCGGATCCCAGCTGTATTAACAAAGTGTTATGGACGAAGGAGTGTTTTTTTAGCCGTACTGGCATATTACTCTTTGAAAAGCAAGGTATACTGAATAATTAAAGATAATACTAAAAACTCATATTCAATTATCATAAAACATAGTGCAAACGTTAACAACATTAGAAATACTAAATTGTAATAACCTAACATTCGAAAACAATTATTATTATACATTTGTTTTTATTAACAAATAGTACTTGTTAATATTTAAAATGTAAAAAATATCTTAATTCATTTTAGGTGAAAAGATTTGTTTAATCCTTGTTGTTCACTACGCATTAAAAATGCAGTAAAAACTAGGTTAATGACGGAATACAGTAGGTCAAAATTCACTCTTGATAAACCTTTGTGAGTCAGCCGTCAGGTGCGGTTCCAAACAGGCATTTAAATAATGATTTGAAAATGTTTTTTCAGTGTAAATATGTATTTTAAAATTTTTATAATCGCGTATTCGTATTCTACTCATTTTTCCCTATTTTCTCTTAAAATTAATGACATTGTGACTGTATATCCATCACATATCAATGTAGATGCACAATAACATCATGTTGATGAACACTTACACAATAAGTATGTCATGTTAATGTATGAGTTTTCTCCAGAAATCGTCAGTATATTCAGGTTTTTCTAAAAATACATTTTAATAGGGGTATATTTACACTGTAATTTGTTACGCTAGTAACAGTAGTTTTGAAAAGTTAAATTGCCATTTTAAAGCTATTTCCTTGCATCACTGATGATGGCGCTATGTGAGTTAATTTTTCTTGATTATTTTTCTTTAATTATGAAAGTGCATGTCACTGTTGAGATTCCTAGTTTATCATCACACATGAACATTGATGACAAACCAAAAATAAGCACGTATCATATGTAGATAAATTTAGCACATCTTATTGCTTATATGTTGTTGAATGTACATGCATGCACAGGGTGTGTAATTATTCCGTGTACATGGTACATGTAACTACCACATTCTTCCTGGGGTCAAAATAGATTATCTAACTAAACTTACCTATACCCAAAGTTGCTTCATTTAGTCGTTAGGGGACGTCAAAGTTGGCAAAATATTTTTATTTTTTTGAATTAACTTAACATTATTACATATTACATTTAAATGAATTTTGGTATTCTATTACTTGTATACAGATACCACTTTTTGACATAGTAACCGAATTATTTATGGAAATGGAACAAATTTATCCCATTCTTAAGCAAATATGTTCGGATTCCTGAACTTAAAATAGGCCGATCTAACTCAACTTACCTTACTTCAAAGATTAAAAAAATATAGTTTTTACTCAATATTTTTTGGCACATAGTAGATATTTGGACTGAATTCAGTCTACAGGAGTGTTTTGTGATGCGGAATTCAAATTTGATTAGTATTTGGCCATATTTTATAGGTGCCCCTATATTCACCATGCAGTGCACATGTAAAGTGTCTCAATTTTTATTTTCTACTAGTAAAAGGTATTCTTAGTTAATAAAAAGATTTACTGATTTAATGTTTTAAATTTTTTTTATTAATTCATTTTTTAAATAATTGTATAATGGGATAGGTGTGATAACCATTGAATCAGTTATTTTCATATTCCTTCTCAAAAAAAGTAGTTATTCTACCAGTTCACTATAGTATTTACATATATTGCAGGAGATTATGATGTAAGCACAAATGTTGTAAACAGAAGGTTTAGTGACGATCTGCACGAGTTAGCGGGTCTGTGTTTGCACAGGGAATGTTATGACAGACCAACAGCAGGTCAGTTACTTACTCATCCTATTTTCAAAACTCTGAAGAAAGCTTTACCTTTGCTGGAGCTACTCAAGCCCGCTTTGCCTCTAAGCGATCGAGTGGGATACGACACAGGTAAGACTTAAATTTAATTAGGATAACAATACATAAACCTCAAAGCTTATTCTCATTAATTATTTCTAATTTAAATGTTAATTCATTCATATTTGAAGTACTGTTAGAAAGTTAATTTCCTTAATTTTTTTCCACAAAAAAAAATATATGAAATAAACTTCTATATGTTTTTTTTTTACCTGATTTTGATTGACTGTACACAAGGTGTTCGGAAATTATAAGTATATATTTGATGAATTGATTCTAAAAATAATGGTATAAGATTATATGATACATTTTAAAAACTAACTTGAACATGCAAAAGAAAATTTTGTTTCATACAATTCAGTATTAATTCTGCTAAATTATTATTTTAATTAATTAAAATTTGAAATTTGGAAATATTAACTTCCTGGAATTTAAAAAAAAATTGGTCACAAAAAAATCAAAAGTAAGTATGGTTTTTCTCTCAAATTATGATATAAATTTGGAAAAAAAGCCTATTTGTAAGATTCTTATTTGATGATCTGTAACAGCGGTTGGCAACTGGCAGACCGCGGTTCAGATCTGGATCACAGAAGGTAAAAAACTGGACCGCCAAAAGTTTTTTTAAAGTATAATTACTCAAATTATTTAAAACATATTTTTCTGTCGATAGTAGTAGTAAGTTACTTAAAAAAACTGGCTCAAACCCGCATATGTAATTTCTCCCATTGATTTTTTAATATCTATCTATTGTATTTCATATTTTATTTTGAGAGTGCAAATTAAAATAAAAAATCAGTAAGGAATACGAGTTTTTTCTGGACCTCATTAAAAACTTTCAAAAGTATGCGGACTCCATCTAAAATTACTCGCCGACGCCTGATTTCTAAGCTGAAGCTATTTAAATTTTTCAAAAACAAAAAATAAAAAAGTCATCAATTTCCTTGCCAATAATTCCGTCTAAGCTCTTTAAAGGTAAGCGCACATTTGTTCGCGTCTCGGATGTATTGGACGCATCGGACGAATCGTGTTATTTTTATCAACATCGCACACTACATTTGGATTTGCCTAACGTATTGTTGAATTCAATGCTATTCCTGTTGTCAAAATGGACAGTTCAGATGAAGAGATATTCGCCATTGCATACGTTTTTGAGGAAGAAGAAAAACAGGAGAAGAAAAGAATTCTCGTTATGCGATTCGAACAAGTGTACCTTGCTCCATTTAAAATAATGTAATTAACTATTTTTCTCCGATTAGACTGTTCGATGCGTCCGTCTGATACGAATAAATGGGCGCTTACCTTAAGGATTTGATGAATTTTTTATAAGTGTAGTTTTTACTAACGTAACCGGATTCTATTAGAGCAGCGATCCACAAGGAACTAATTCGAAGGTTTGAAAATTTATTAAAATAAATTTGACAATTAAAAATCTGTGACAGTTGTCATGTTGATTGTTACTTACCTGTCACGGCCAACCTAAAAGGTGCGAATCAAATGGAAACACCATTTTAGGAAAAGGGAAATGTTTATTCGTAAATAAAATGAAAATGACTGGGTTTAGGTATACGGAAACTTTAACAAAGTTACATTCAATTTTAGTGCAGAATGCGAATAAGTACATTAAAAAAATTAGGGATTTCCATTTAAAAATTTCGAGTTTTCCACATTTTCTGAACTTTATATTCGATAATATTTTTTGACCATCCTGTATAAAAACTCAAAAATGTTCATGTCAAATCTGATAAATTAGGTCTTTCTCTACAAAATGTCCAATTCGCATAAAAAAATAAACCTGTGGTGTCTCCAGAGAAACTAAATTTTGCTGACAGTTCGGATCTGTCAATTGTTGCCTAAAAATCAAAATATCCCGGAAACAGTCAATCCTAAGTATGGAATATGATATATGTTTTCAAGTTAAAAATAAATGCTCTTTCCAAAAATGCAATAATATACAGGGGGTTCCGTTTAAAATAAAAAAGTTAGGATCAACTTCCGGTGTAACCGGAAGTACGATAACCTTGAAAATATTTTAGCTTAGTAGGCCCCACGGCCCGTATCACACCATCACAATTTCAAAAAAATTCTTCAAGCAGTTTCCCAGATATCCATCGATGGAATTCGGGCAGACACCCCATATATCGATGGAAATCTGGGAAACCGCTCGAAGGATTTTTTTGAAATTGTGATGGTGCAACACAATATAAAATTATAAATTGGCTAAGCATTTTACTTACACCCTATGTATGTGTAAACATGAAATCACTGTGTAAAATGGAACCAATCAACGCAATTACACAATTTTCATCATATTTTTAAAAATGCAGTCAAATTTCTGAATTCTTAATAATTTATTTCCTTGCATGTATTTGAATCACTCCATGACGCCCTAACAAACACAAAATTTGCAAATACTGTCCAGTAATATTTTTTCCGAGATTGTTTACTATCCTTGAAGAATATAGTTTATAGTTATAGTTTAGTTGAAAGATTATTTTACAGAAACACAAAAACATTACAATATACATATATATGCATACACAACTGTAATATATATGTATCTATGTACCAATCTCTTTGTTAATAAACAATTAAAAGTAACGTTTTTTAATTTAATACTGTTTACATATACATTTTCTATTAATCCGAATTTTCCAATGCTCCGGCACTCTTAGGTTTTTAATGGTGCCGGATTAGTGAGACTGTACTGTATTTATATGTAATATTTTTATATTTTAGATGAAATGGAGAATTTAGAAACTCTGAGCAGACTGTCACAGTTGGAGATCTATTCGTGCGAATGGGATTTTTAATGAGGTGGATCTTGTACTATGTACATATTTATTATTTTGTAATTATCACAATGTATTTACAATTAATTTTTTAATTGAGGAAAACATGTTTATATATTTTAATATAGTTTCTAGAAACTAAAAATCTTTATTTGAAATAAAAGGATTTATTACAATTATTCTTTATAAAATAAACAAGAGAAAAAAAACAAAACAAAGATTACTTATATGTATACAATGACCAAATATTTATACCCACTTACATAAGTGTTAAAAAACAACAAAACGGCTTCCATATTTATTACTTAAATGGTTTTCAGAAACTACAATCCAAGATCAGCTGGATCAGTAAATAATTAAAACAGGTAGCTGTTTTTGAATGCTTATAATCAGTGGTGGCTCTTGATTTCTATATCAGGGAGAGTGAAAAAAATTAGGTACAAAATATTGACTATTGAAATATAGGGAACATTATGTTTTGTTTACACTTCTGTTTTCGATGTTGCTGAACATGAATCTGAAGTTATTTTTGTGCGGTCGAACCCAGTTTACGGGGAAAAAATTTTTCAAAATTCTAACGGACATTTTACCCAACATCTGTTGTGAATAATTAACATTATTTATGAAACACATTTTCGCAAATTTCAAGTAAAAAATATGTATTTAATAAATAAAAATTTTGTTGCACGAGTTATTTAATAAATGAAAATTTTGTTGCTTGAATCCACCATTTGTAATTCTTGATGACATTGAAGTTCCCCCCACTCTCATTCATCTCTGTTCATCCCACAAAGTTATTTTTGCAGTTTAAATTTAGGAAAATATGCTTCTTAAAAATGTTGATTGTTTATTAGAGATATTCTGAAAGCTACATCTCCAAAAATGGGTCCGACCACACAAAAATAATATTCGTATTCAGCACCATCGGAAATGGGGATAGAAAAATTTTGTAAAGATTTGGGAGAGTGACACTATAGTAAATAATTACCCTCCTTTTGTCTGAAATAAACTTTTCAATTATCTTTTTATTAAAGTTTAGTATTTCTCGCATCATTGATTTTTCAATAGATACCACTGCAAGTGCTGTTAGTCTGTCTTTACAATCGAATATAAACTTCTACAATCTTTTAAAAAACAAGAAGCAATAAGTAGGCAACAACATTTTACACATGTAAACAATTTACGTTTAACAAGAAAAAAAAGCAGTGAATAGCTATTATTTGGTTACAGGCAGATTAGACAGAGCCCAAACTTCATAGTAAATATGTGTTACTCCCACTCCTCTTTCACTGATGCGTGGTGGTAACCATGACCACTGCTGTAAACACTACAGATGATTTAGGGGCGAGGTAGGAGGAGCCCATGTGTTGTGTTTTTTAATTGAATTTTGTTAAGTCGAGTTAAATTGACTGCACAATACAATTTTAACATCTCCTTTTTCATGTGCTTCATATGGCTAATCTATTTTATTGCCTCAATAACCTTGTAAACTAATATTTTAAATTAAATTTTTTTTACTATAAAAATTTCTAGGGGAGATAGTGCCTCAGACTCCTCCCCCCCCCCACATCAGCCGCCACTGCTTATAACGAATAATTGACAATCATCATCTTTATCCAATTATCCAAATGTGAAATGTAAAACTTAACCTAACTTAACATCACACATCTAACACTTTAAAATCTTACATAAATTATTTTCCAAACATTTTGTAACATAAATTTGTTTACTTTTCGATCCCATCAATGATCATAACAGTTTCTGAAAAACCCTTTATATGTACATAAATGATCACTAGTTGCAAAATAATGTGAATATACATATACTGTATAAAATATGTGACTATATTTTTGAGTAAAATGTAGAAAAAGCTATCAAAATACTCCAGACTAGGAAAAGTTCTATATAAATAAAAATTGTGCAAACACTCCAATTTTTATGCAATGGTTGAAAGTGAAAAACACTTGTGAACAAACACCTAAAACGTGCAGACGAGTACGATTAAAAATGGCTCAAATAACCATAACTTTTTTAAATCCTGATGTTTATCATCAGTTTTGATGAATTAAATCTAAGGCAGACATACAGATGATACTCTGCTTATATCATCCTTTGGAATGAATGTATACTCATGAGTGCAGAATAATGGAGGCGACAGTTTCAAATGGCTTTGAAAAATCATATACATCACAATTTTGGTTTCTTTGATGTTGAGGCCCTAAGCAATTATAATATAATTTAGATTTTGTATATCATAGGAAGTTGACCCAAAATTGCTTCTAAATTTTTTGTACTTATTACATGAAAGTAGGAAACATTCTTAAGATATTTTATTCTATTTCCTTTTTGTCTTTTAGCCACCAATGCCACCATCAATTATTTTTTTTAATATGGGAACCTATTAATACTGTTGTGCCATTGGATGGATTACATTATTGTTTTGTGCTGAAATTTGTATGTTATTTTTCATCAAAATGTTGATTTTGACATTTTTTAATTTTATATCCAGAAACTTTCATACGTTAGCAAAAAAATATAAAAGGAGACTTTACCTTATACCTATTAAGGACAATAATTACAAATGTTTTAGAAAAACTCCCCAATATTTTCCAAGAACTTTTTTATTTTTATTCTGATATTTAAAATCTCAATTAAGTTTTGTATTTGTATTATTTATATCGACATCTAAAAGAATATTTAAATAGAAAAAAATTCCAAATGTACCAAAAGAGAAACTAAGAGGGATGTTGTTGCCCAAAGTAGAACATTATTATTATTATCTTGTTTTTCTCTCAATATCACTACATTTCAATATATTTTATTTAAGATGTCATTAACTTCAGGCAAACAGTTGGTGCTTAAAGCAATGGAAAATACCCAGAAAGAAACAATAAAAATATTATGCAAATAATTTAACTTTTATTCAAACCTCACTGAAAACCGTAATTAGGAATCATCACTGGTAAAAATAACTATTTTTGCACAAAATCATGTTTATGAAATTATTATAAATTCAATGAAGATGTATTTTTTCTAAAAAAAGTTTCAAATTAAAGTTGTTCAAAATTATATTCTCTAATAAAATTGGTCATATGAAAAATTTCTATTTTCCCAACAGTTTTGCCATATATTTTTCAAATGAAGTACAGATTATGTGAAAATTAATGTTTTGGAACCAAAATAATGGTCAATTCATTTTTAAATAACAAAAGTGAATTAGAGAAAAGAAAATTGTGGAAAATTGTTGTTTATATAGTTGTTCGAGGTTTAAATATGTATGAGCATCAAACGTATCATTTTCGAGGGTGTACATTACGAATTAATTATGCACTTATTAATATGTTCCAGAATAATCTGTTTTCTCTGAAACTTTTTTGCGACAGCGATGAAGCAGTTTTATATAAGAAACCTAGATATGGAAGCCCAAAAATATTGTTAAAAATAAAATAAATAAAAAAATGTATTTTTTAATTATAAATAAATAAAAAAATTATACTGATATATATTTTTTTATTATACCTCTACAGCTCAAGAAAATTCCTTTCCTATCAACCATCAAATTACAATATTACAAATTTTTATTTTTTAATATTGAAAGTAGATTTTTCTGGAAAATATTATAAAGCGCATAATTAATTGTAATGTACACACTTAAAAACCTATAAAATAATACGTTTGATGCTCATAAATATTCAAACCTTAGAAAACTATATAAGATTTTCCAAGAACTTTCCGCAATTTTATTTTCTCTAATTCACTTTTATTTAAAAATGGATTGACTATTGTTTTGGTTCCAAAACATTAATTTTCACATAATTTGTACTTCATTTAAAAAATATACGGAAAAACTACTGGAAAATCGAAATTTTTCATAAAAGCAATTTTGTAGAAAATTTAACTTTGAACAACTTTTATTTGAAACTTTTTTCGAAATCTTCATCGAGATATTGGCAGTTTTTGGTCAAAAAATGTGAAAAACCATACATATACCTATCTTAAAAGGCTGTATGTTGCTCGTGGTTGCGTATGTGACACATGTTTTTTGACCTCAAAACCTCAAATCTCAGAGTAAAAAAGTTCCCTCATATTTTCCTTATTTTCTTGGACTAACTCTTTAAAATACGCATTTTTATTTCGACTTTAAAAGAGGTATAATTTTCTGTAGGCATGTTTATTGTAATATTTTATAAAATACCTAACAAAATACAGATTCATCGATACAATATTTTTTCATTAAACATTACGAGACAAATCTGACAGAATTGATTTTTAAATAATTTCAGTAAATTGAGAAAAAAATCTTTGATTGAATGAACAAAAAAAAAACCCAACAAATTTGACAAGATCTGTCATATTTAGTTTAATATCGGTTAAGATGTGTAATTGTAATATCTATTGAAAATAATCAATAATAAACGATACTTTTCATGATATAAAATAAGAGTAGATTTATCTTAAGTAACTGTAACAATATTTTTTCACAAAACAAAATTACGATTTATACTAAACTCTACTATACGTTAGTTAAGCATTTAATGTGTTTAACATATTGAGATTTACAATTCTACATTTACCTGTTTTGGAAATATCCAGAAAAAATTATTTCTTGGAGCCCCGAAGCATTTTTCGACCCATGTTTATGGAGAAAAATAATCTTATTTTTAGTAGTAGTATCTGCTGGTAAATTATTGCGTAATAATTTTTAGACACTGCTGTATTATAATTTATATTTTGTAGTACCCTCATACCATGATTTCATTGTTATTATTATAGATTACTAATTTTTCCTGGAGGCCCGTTAAGCTAGTGAGTGCTATTAGTTTATTAAATCATCTAAAGCCATTCTGCAATGTGTTGCGTACGAAACATATTAAACTTCTGATTAATTATATGAAAAGGCATTTTGTTTCACCTCTGCATATTTAATAATAGAATGTAATTTTCATTACAAAACAGAAAATATTCATGAATACCAGTAATAAAAACCAGGATTTAAAAAGAATTTAAATAATCATTAATTAAAAGAAAAGAAACAAACAAGATTTTATTAATTAAATATGTTCTGCAATCCACTATAATCACAACAAGAATAAATAAATCTGCTTCTTACATTGAAAAAAATTGCAATGCTTCATTTTAAAACGCTAAAAATATGCTAAACCTAAATATATCTTTATATCCGATTGGTCAAAGAAGTTATGCATTGTATTACATGCATATTATGCATGCAGCTATTTTGAATCAAAATTATATGAATAGTGCTATTCTGTAATTTTCATACAGCTGTAAATTTATATTAAAAAAAAATAACAATCAAGGCTAAATTAACAAAAGTAGGTGCTTATACAGTATAACTTCGTTAATCCAAATAATTTTGGATCACAGCAGATTTTAATTATTAATTTTTCAGATTATCGAGAAATTGAAAAATATGCATAACGAAGATAATTACAAAAAAATGTAAATTTAAATTCTACTTCAGTTATCGTATGTGTGATACAGAGACAGGTTTAAACACTCTTCATGTTACTATGGTGTGATGCGATTATTTCAGATTATCAAGAAAAATAAATTTAGATTAGGTGCCACAATTTTGAATTAACACATACTCAGATTACCCAAATTATACTGTATGTAAGTAAATGTGATTAAAACATTTTCCATAGTCATTTAGAAGTTTTTCTGTTTATTTAAAAATAACGTTTTTAAATTTTAATTTTTACCTAACCAAAAATCTCATATTGAGAAGAACAGATATACAAAACACAAAAACTACATTCCTTTACTTAGTACATTCTAAAAATTAATTTATTTTCGTATTCAAAACTGACGTTTTTGTTTAAATGAATTTGATAGATTATGTAAGAATTAGATAATTTTACTCCTATGTGTTTATATTTGATTTGTCTACTTCAACCGCTAGAGATATTATATAAAGGGTGTCGCAGTTTTATGATGAAAAAATTTGGAAAACCTATAAAAACAATGAGACTCTTCTGTATACTTATTTCGAAATATCAACTGTTCCCAGATACAGGGTATTCAAATTGAAAAAATATGTCACGTTTATTCAATAATTTTTGAAGATGTTTGAAAGATGGAAACGTTGAGGATGTTACAGAAGGCCTTTAGTCATGAGGTTATGTCGCAAAAATGTTTACAAGTGGTACAAAGACTTTAAAGAAGTCAGAAAAAGCGTTAAGAACGAGCAGTGTTCTGGACGACCATCAACGTCAACTGATGAACAACACATTAATCAAATCAAACATCTTGAGTTCGAAAAACGTCGATTAACAATAAGAGACCTTGTTGATATTGTTGGCTTTCAAAAGGTTCGATTTCAAAGATTTGTTGTGCCTTAGATGTGTCAAATCTCCTTTGGTNTTGTGATCAGACTTTATAACTCAACCAGAAAAAGTGTCATTTTAGTGATTTGGAATATTTTTTGAGGTTAGGTACGACTAATGACTATACTCCGCGGTCGAAATTATAGAGAGTGACTCATCGCTAGCTTTTGGACTAGTAAGGGGGATGAAGCGTGCCGGGACCGAAAATCTATTGTCGTGTCTGCGTAAAAGGCAACAAGATATAGAAAATATTGAAAAAAGATAATAAAACATAAAATCTAATATTTTTTTACGGTTTGCTATAACCGGCACTGATTCATTTCAATTATTACAGCATTTTAAAACGTCCCAGTTGTTTTTTTATTTACAAATTTATTATAACCATGGAATTAGACCCCTCGTCTACGCTTATGCTATTTTTTCGACCGCGGAGTATAGTTGGGTTCAAACGGATGTAGGAATTCGATTCAGTGACCCCAAAAATTTAAAGATATGTAGGTTACACTTCATTCCTATAAGTGGAAAGTGTAATCTTAGCAATTTGCGTTACTTTTTTGAGGTTAGGTACGAACTCTGACTAGTTGAAGTTGATTATTGATATCAGAATTGGTTTCAGCGAACCCGAAAACATATATTGTGGTGGTTAAACTGTGGTTACTCATAGTAGAAACGCTTTATTGCAACGTTTTGAAGTATTTTTAAAGTCAGGGACGAACAGTGACTAGATGGGGTTTAACGAATATTAAATTCGAAATCAGCAACCCCAAAAACGTATAGATGTGGTGATTCAGCCTACAAAACAGTATTTTTATATTTCTTATCTATCAATAATGCTCATTAAACAGAATTTTCCATGATCGCGGACGCCATATTGGAACCGCCATGATGTTTTTTTAAAATCACCAGACGGCATTCGATAGAGTTTTTAAATACGAAGCTTTTGACACGTCGAACGTCAATATTGATGCATTTTTATTCTGGGCAGCCCACTGTGCCCGTTGACGTGAAACGCCCGATATATATAATAAACAGTTGATATCTGTGAAACAATGATTTCTGACTACCAAGAGTACCAAGATGTCATGATTATTACTGGAGATGAGACTTGGATCTAAGCTTACAATCGGGAAACAGCAGATCAATCCAGTGAACCAAGACCGAAAAAACCACACCAAAGTCACTTAAACATCAAGGTCATGTTGATTGTTTTCTTTGATTATCGTGGCATAGTGCACTATGAATTTCTTTCAACCGGTCAAACTGTTAACAAGGAATATTATTTGAGTGTTATGTGTCGCTTGCGTGATGCTATTCATCGTAAAGAACCGGATTTATGGACAGACAACTTTTGGTTTTTGCATCATGATAATGCACCGGCTCATATAGTATTGATAATTTGAGACCATTTTGCCAAGAATTCAACTCATATCATTCCGCAACCACTGTATTTGCCTGATTTAGCACCGAATGATTTCTGGTTATTCCCTAAACTCAAATGACCACTCCGTGGATACCGTTTCGAGTCGATCGAGGAAATAAAAGCTGAATCGACAAAAGCATTGAAGGCGACACCAGAAAAGGACTTTTAAGACTGTTTCGAAAGTTGGAAAAAACCTTGGCATAAGTGCATTGTATTGCGTGCAACAATATAAGTTCACTGAATAATTCAACTATCATCGTTTATATTTAGCAATTTTCTTTAAATATTATTTTCCTTTTCCAAAGTTTTGGCTGAACTGCAATGAATTGAATAAACAGTTTTCATGAGAGAGTTTGCAAATTTCATATTAAATTTTTTTACTATTTCATTTAATCTCTAAGTTTATTTAGTCTGTTAGTTAGTTACAGGTCTAGATGTGACTCCAAATAATATTTATTGCATTAAAAAGGTATGTTACAAATGCACTTTTTTTAAATTTGATCATTCTTTAGGCACGTTTTTGACTAAAAAGTCTGTACATGTCCCCGGACTGGTCTCTTATTTTATTTTAACCTTATCTTTCACTATTTTTTTGTAAGTTTTCTTGGTGGTGTATATTAAAAGGAAAGTTGTATGTTCATCAAGTAAACAGCAGCAACTGCATTCACTTCCACATCCATATTTTATGGTACTATGTATACATACTATGACAGCTTGTGGTTGATAGCAATGACATATGATCTCTGTTGGCTAATTGCAATGCATATCCCATCACAAAGAGGAGCCATTAAATTTTTACTCGTTCTTTTCAGTTTTTTTGATAATATATGAACATATGGATTTCTATTCATTCCTAAACAGTGAAATGTATGTCAAATTATTCCATCAACTTGAATTCTTATTAAACGAAAATTTTTGTAGTAGTAATAAAAATAATAATTATATATTTCTAACTATGCAAGTAGATAAACAAACAAAATATAAACATATGTCACATAATCTTAAATATCAGTTTTGAGAAGAGAAATTAACACTCGAAACAAATTATTTCAGTGAAATTACATGTATATTTTTTTGTTTTTTTTTTTTGTGTGTTAAGTAAAAATACTTTCATAAAAAAAACCTATTTTTCACAAAGATAAAATTAAAATTAAGCTACAAATAAATAATAGCAGGCTATAATTTTTTAGAAGTCTGAATAGCACCATAAATTTCTAGTGTCCTTTAATACATAAACAAAATTATGCAAGTACACACAAAATGAATCTTAAAAACTGTAACAAAATTATAAGCTTAAAATAAAGGTGAGGACATCATTGTCGTTTCTGGATGGTACAAAAAATTGACAAAAAAATGTCTAAAACTGTCTCCTAGTCTACATTTACATGCAAACATGTTAATATAACTGCGACTGCCCTTATGTTTGACCACCCAGACAGCAGCTTACTTTTTGCATCCCCATGAGGAATAATACTGGATACCAGTCAATATATAGAAACATTTTATGTTATACATTTAAAATTGTACTTTTCCATATTTCTTTTGTTATTGTGCAGCTCTAGGTAGCATGTGGTAAATAGATTTCCTTTATGGGAAGCAAATATAAAGATAGGAAAAGGAAAATTATATTACAAAAAAAAATTGTACTGAGATCAATAACCCGCAGTTCACATTGAAAAGCCTCTATAAAGAAAATATTCTACCATTCATAGTCTTACAACAGATTATGTGAAATAAAAAAATATACTTAGGTTCAGTTTGCAAAATTTCAAAAGCCGTCACTTTAAACTTATATATAGGAATAAAATAAAACAACAATATTTAAAAATTATAATAAAATACTGTGGAAAAAAATTTGTTTGGCATTAATATTGCGGACCTTGACATTGCCTACAGGTGTTAATCAGTTCGGCATTGTAGGCCTCTATTTGCAAGGTACAACTTACCACGTTAATTTGGCTATGTACTAGGGAACTTGCTTTTTTCAGCAAGAGGTCTCTATCACAGAATTGATCTGAAAGAAAATAATATCTTTATCACAATATCTTTTATCATAAATATTTGTTGGTAATTTCATTTGTACTCGCTAATTGTTGTCAGATCCGGTAATAGCAAGTACAAACTTTTTATCCATGATTATAATTTTTAGTGAACCTGAATTATTTTATTTGCAAACCAAAAATTGTATTTTGGTGTTATACAAATTTTCATAACTTTTTTTCCATTCATGCAATAATAACAAACATTTTTCAATTGATAGCTGACACTATTTGGAATTTACGTCATTTTGAGTTGTGTCGAACAATATTTTAACACCAGTCCTCAATCTAAAATCAATAGTTTCGAGATATGTCAAGGGCTATTTCACTTGTGCCGTCATCGCTGTTGCAAGCCTTTGGATATTTACAGAATGCTTTGAATATTTTTAAGGAACATGATCCAAATTTTGAAAGAAGTTTTAATGTTAATAACAAAATTATTGCGGCCTGTCAATGTTATCGAGAAATGTATGAAAACAAGAAAAAAGAAGCGAAACAAACTCGAATTGATAAGTTTTTTAAATGAATGGTTTACGTTTTATTGTTTCTTTCTATTTTTTTAATTGTGCAATAAGTATGTACCGAATTCATGGTCTGTTTTATAAATAAAGTGTGATTATTTAAAATTAATTTGTAGTTTTTTTTACATTATATGTTCTGAATGAACCTAACTTCTTCACTTTATATAGAAATGGATGAAAAAAAATGTATCGACTTATGTTGTTTCGATTTACGTTATATATTTTGAGAAATGAATATGCCGTAAGTACGAGGACTGTGTGTACTTGTTTAAAAAAGTTATAAAAAGTTAAACGACAAACACTATGTCAAAAAAATATATATTCAAAGCAAAAGTTTTCAGAAAGACTTGCTACTACCACTAAAATATATAAAGCTTTCTGCAGACCACTCCTTGACTAAAAACATATTCTTTTTGTGAATTGTCACAAAGCAACCACAAAAATTCTTCAAGTGGCCAACATCTTCATTCAAAAGGTGGCAAAAACTTTCCTAGAATTAGAAATACATACCTACTTGAACTGACCCAGAGACATTTAATTAGCTTCAATACCGATAATGTTTTTTAAGATCCTTCTTGGTTGTTATGATATTCATTATAATCATCATTTTAGAATTAGAAGACTTTTTTAAGCAATTATTTTACAAATTATTAGCTTTTGATATCAAAAACCTAAGTAATTCTAAGTATCTTTAATCTAATAAAAAGGTGTTTGACACCTTTTCAAATACTGCCATAAAATGAAATTATGACATTTTTGTAAGAAATTGTTACAACTGGCAATTAAAAAAAGTAAAATTGAAAAGTATTTGGCGGACTGTTGTGATGTGCTTAATTGAGCCATCTATTAATAAGAAGCTCAACTAAAATCTCATATCACTGCCCTTCTTTTATTTAGTAATAAAGAGCCAAAGAATGTTTCTGTTATAACATGTTCATAGTCTAGTACAGGGGTCGGCAAGTAATTTTAGGTGGGGTCCGGATACTTTTGAAATTTTTTAACGAGGTCCAGAAAATATTAATATTTCTTACTAATTTTTTATTTTCATTTGCACTCAAATTTAATCTGCTTACTAACCATTAAGAACTCAAATCAGTCACAATTGTAAAATACTAGAAAAAAATGATAAGGCTGGCACTCAAACGTAAAAAAATATTTTTTAAATAATTTGAGTAATTTATATTTTCAAAAAATTTTTGGCGGTCCAGTATTTTACCTTCCGCGGTCCGGATCTGGACCGCGGTCCGCCAGTTGCCGACCCTTGGTCTAGTACGTCACAAATTGATAACAATGATGTACGATTTGAAAATTTTTTTAAAATTGATTAAAAATTTATGTAAGGAAATTATTAGCGAAATTGCTTGTACAGTTCACATTAACTTTCATTGTAGAATAGTATTTAGTGAGGAAACACGTCATTAAATATTTAAGTTAAAAATAAACGTAAAAAATCATAAATGGTGTATTTTTCAAATAATGAGACATCTTTTCTCTCTTCTATTAGAAGTTACAAAAAGGTATTGAATTTTCTAAACATCCCATGGTGTCGAATTTCTGAGTTTTTAGTGAGAGTGAATTTCAGCAATACCACCAGCAAAATAAGTGTTTAAAACCAAACTCAATTCTTACATTTAATTAGATAAATAATTAACCCAAGTTTCATCGTTCTACATCAAATGTCGCGAGAGTTATTTTAAAGTTATTTTTTTTTAAATTTCAACATCCTGTATTTGGAAAAGTATCGATTTGCGAACAATGAATCACCCCTAAAGTTTAACATTTTGTATTTTAGAGAAAATTGTATCTAGTGCATGAGCAAAAAACTTCAAAAGAAAGTTAATATGTACAACGTTGCAGCCCTTTAATATATGTATTTTGCAATTAATTTTGTGTTTGACTGACATTTTCGACTGTTTTATTGTATGGAGTCTTTATAAATATTTACAAGCCACGTGACCCTCCAGCTTAGACAACCAAGGCTGAAGGGTTGGAAAATTCCCTAAATGTTGGGTTCACCAAAATTAATGATTCGTTTACAATTAACAATAACAACAAACCATTACATTTATGCTCGAGATAATGCGATCACTGATTGATTGAATAGAATCTCGTGAAAAATTACACCAATCTTAGCCAGTGTTTTAATAATTTTTAATTTAACCAAAATTTACTTGCTAACATGAAGGAAATAAAATTACTGTTTCAAACAAAATTACTGGTCACGTGACTTGGAAATCATTTATGAAGGCCCTGTACCATGACAAGTAACGAGAGCATAGACAAATCCAATAGCAAAAATAACAGATATTCAGATAATCAAGTAATCGAGAATTGGCCAAGAACCGAGCTGGCTGAAAGTAGTGATGACTGCTTATCAATGCACAACTTTTGATTTTATAAGACACTACGAGTATTGTGTAGACTAAGACTGTAAAGAATTAGTACTAAATCATATAACACAACTATTTTACAAATTTCTTCAAATCCTACCAAGTAATGATTACTGAGTAGCGGATAATTACAATATTGACATTACTAATACTCACCAACAGCCAGATGTAAAGCCACAGCGTCCTTGCCAGGCGCAAGTGACCAGATATGTAAGCTATGGATGTGCTTCACTCCACCCAGCTTCCCCAGAGCTGTGGCAAGTTTGGCACTGCTTACAGGGCTGCCCTCTATCAGGTACCATACTGAGTCGCGACCTATCCGCACTGTGGTGCAGATGACAATCAGGGAGAAGAGCAAAGTGCAAATAGGATCAGCGATCCTGCCATTTGGATAGAACTTGATAATCAAGGCAGCTAGTAGTACCCCAATGCTCTGAAGGAGATCGCCTAGGACGTGGATGATCGCTGCCCTGACATTAATGTTGTTGGGAGAATGGTTGTGCTTAGTAAACCCATGGCTGTGTAGATGGCATGCTCCATGAAGGATGACACCCATTCTTTAAATTACAAGCAGTAATTAGTGATTCTTCAGTAAGTGAAAAGTTTATATGTACATAATGTACCAAATTTGCTTTAACACAATTTTTATGCAACAGTTACAACTTTCACAACTTTGACATTTTACAGTAGCAAAATTGTACCTTAAGGGGACATATACAATTAGATGGCGGAAAATTAGTAAATTTTGTGGAATTTAAAAAAAAATAATATTCACGTATAAAAAAAAAATTAATTAATTCATCGTCAAAATGACAGAGCAGTGGTGGAGAGTCACACCAAAGTTGCAGCGTGACTTCCAAAACGGTGTACAGCTTAGCTCCCCGTGAAATTCGATCTGCATCAAAACACAAAAATTTTCTTATTTAAAACTTGCGTAGCTTCTGAGACGTTGAGAAAAATGGAAAAAATACAAATTTGGAAAAACGACATGCATTTAAAGATAAAAATCGAATTTTCATTTCTGCAGAATTTGTATAAAAAAGTTTTTTCAAAATTTTCCAAAATCAATTTCCGTCATATAGAAGGTTATTACATTATTATGTTATCAACATTTCTACCAAGAGGGAACTTAATTAGTTCATTAGTTTTTGTGCAATTGTGTACACCAGTTTCAGAAATGTAGTTTCGTGAAAAACGGTAAATAACCCTTCCTATTCTATCCTTGGCAGACGGAGTCGTTTGACAAATGAGCGTCAGTGTGGACGAATGGGCAACTATAAACTGTAAAAAACTTGGGCGGCTATTGCCCAAAACTCATCCGAAAACGGTTAATTCTTCTACAAACATCTGGTCGACGAGTATACCTGTGCGCTCCTGCTTTTACCTGCGGCATGTGCTCGGGACCTGAGCGGACATGTACAACGTTTACGGGCTATAACATTGGGAGTTTTTCGAATTTTGTTTTCAAACATTTAGAATATATTCTTCACATACATTTATCGTTTAAGAATATTAAAAAAAAAATCGATTTTCTGATCGCTGTAATTGTATATGTCCCCTTAACCCTCAAAAATTCCCACCTGTGTATTAACGAGGATGTTTATATTTTTCATTGTTCCTCGAAATTTCCACAGATATCTATGAATAGTATTGAACAATATCTAAAGTTCTAATAATAAGAAAGAAAGAAATAGAACATATTCTAAAAACGTCATGAAACAAATAAGTAAATAAATGTATACTACAGTGATTTTCTCTACATTGTCCTCTTCCTAAAAGTGATCATCCCGAGAAGCAATCAGAGCCTTCTCTGATGGGTGCTCGATATTCTGTAGACCACGTTTTTGATGCTTTTGATTACCAGAAGTTCTGGATCTTGGGAGATTTTCCTTTTTTTCTTATTGGATTGTTCAGCCATGCTAGATCTCCTGCCTAAAACTCATTGGTGTTGAATTACTTTCAAACTTCATTTTCTGTTGAACTTTGTCATGGATGACATCGATTTTTCTAGCTAACTCGGATGGATAATCTTCCAGTGTATCAGCATGATCTTCAGAGTGGCCAAAAACAATGTTGAGAGGTATTATTAATCCTCTACCAAATGCTAATAGTCTTATAAACTGCTGATTGATAGGCCTATAGGAAGAGGTACATGTCGGTTGAGGTTTGATGACCATTTTCAGGTGATTCTATTTGGTTGAATCCCTCTATAGTGACATCAGATTTGATGCAGAGATGTTATTCTGGCCTTTTTGATATCCATCAACTGTTATACTTTTTTTAATACATCCGATTCAAAATTTCGTTTTTGATTCAAATGCAGTTCTTATGAAACAGAAGAGCTTTTTAACTGCCTCTTGATTGGGGATGGGATGTACTTCTGATCAATTGGTGAAGTAGTTCATCGGTGCCAATAGATTCTGTTTGGAGGAATGGTTTGGCAACATTTACTGTAATCCTTTTTAAAGGGACCTCCAACGTTACACTGCTACTCAAAATCTTGTTCGCACAAAATTGTCCTACACACACTCCATCATGGACTTCTCTCGGCACTTCATTAATTCTATTCCATGGAAGTATGACCTGCTATCACACGTCTATGCCATTTGGCATTTCCCATTGCCTCTTCAGTAAACCATTTTTTAGCATGAGTAAGTTCCATACCTTTTAACGTTGATGATATGTCATATTGTCCCACATTTTTGTCAATTCTGGTAAAATTTCTTTTAACACAAAATTGAATTTATAATTAAAAAATGTAAATATGAAACTGATTGAGGACGGCCCTGGCAATCAGAAAGAACGAAGTGTGTGAAGAGCTGTTTCGAAATTAACCTCGAGAGATCGAGAAATATCAAATAGTTTTTCACAGTGGTATCAAATATCAAATACAATAAGCAGAACAGAGAGGTGAGTGGAAACTTACAAAGAAAATACGTAAATTAGACTTTAGTAGAGGAAATCGCACCGATAAAAGTAAGGTTTCCGAGGGGTCGACCCGAGCCGACTTTTTGCGCGGTGCGATAGCGACGAAATACAAAAACAACGGATAAAGGCCACGAGCAGCGTGTAGAACAATTTGAGGACAGGACCGTACTCAGACCAGCAGAAAAAGGAAAAGAAAATATGGAGAGCGATGGTTACTCCACCGACGATAAGAATAAAAGAAGAAGATCAACACCCGAAGAGGAAGAACCCTTCGGGAAAAACAAGAAAATGATAAGAACACCAACAAAAGTATATAAAAGACAGGAAGAAGATAAATTTGATAAACTTCTACAAATTTTGCAAGAAATGAGGGGTAAAATACAAGGTGTGAGAAAGGAGATGAAAGAGATAAAAACAGACACAAAGGAACTGAGAAAGGCACACAAAGAGTTTAGAGAAGAAATCGCGATTCTAAAAGAGGAAAACGAGTCCTTAAAAGGAAAGGTAGAGAGGACAAATAGAGAAGTCGAAGAATCCAAAATAGAATTAAATGAAGTAAAAACCCAGTTAGAATGGTTAGAAAAAGAAAAGCGACAGAATAATATAGTAATAACAGGAATTAAATTAGATACAGAGAACACTGATACCTTGGCAGAATCAATGAAGAAGTTCATAGAGGAAAAATTAGAAATCCAAATTGGAATAAAAAGGGCGCAAAAAATAGGGGAAAAGAACTGTCTAGTAGAGCTAGAACAGAAGAAAGATAAAGAAAAAATAATGCAGAATAAGAAAAAGCTGAAAGATATTACAGATAAAAGAATATATATTAACAACGATTTAACAAAAAGAGAAAGAGAGATGCAGAAACATATAAGAATAAGAGCAAAGGAAGAGAGCAGAAGTGGAAAGACGGTTAAAATGGGATTTAGCAAACTGATGATAGGAGAGCAACTTTGGAAATGGAATAAGGAGACAAAAAAGCTAGAAATAGCAAAAAACTAAGCACCAAGAGGACAGGAGGCAAGAAAAAAACGGACCAGGCAAGCAAAAAGGGAACGACTGCGATTACAAATCAAGGAAACAAAAGAAAAAGACAGGGCGGCTCCAGAACAAAAAATATGCAGAGAAATGAAAATAGAAGGGAAAGAAAAAATGAAAAGAGTTGGCGAAACAAAGAGGGGAGCAAAACAGAAATAAAAATAGGGACCTGGAATGTAAGAGGACTAAACCAAGTAGGAGCTATGAAACAGCTTATAAGTGAAATTAGGAAACAAAAGTTTGAGATTGTAGCCCTACAAGAAACAAAACAAAAGGAAAGTGTAATGATGGAGATAGAAAAATATGCATTCCTAAATAGTGGAGGGGACAACAGAGTTTTAGGAACAGGTTTCCTAGTTAGTCCAGAAATAAAAAGTTTAATAATGAAATTTAAACCAGTGTCGGATCGATTATGTTATTTAAGAATCAGAGGAAAATTTCAAAACATTAGCCTCATCAATATACATGCGCCGACAGAAGAGGCCGATCTAGAGAGTAAAGAAGCCTTCTATGAAAAGCTACAAAAAGAATACGACGAAATTCCAAGATATGACTTGAAAGTAGTACTGGGAGATGCAAATGCAAAAATAGGAAAAGAGGAAATATACAAACAAGCTATAGGAAACCACAGTAAACACGATAAAACATCAGATAACGGTCAGATGCTGGTGGATTTTGCGATGGAGAAGAATATGAAAATAAAAAGTACATGCTTCAAAAAGAAAGAAATACATAAAGGTACGTGGAGAGCTCCAAATGGTGATTACACAAATCAGATAGACCATGTGTTAGTGGAAAGAGAAGAGGAAAGAAATATAACAGACATTAGATTGTACAGAGGAATAGATATAGACTCAGACCATTTCATGGTGGGAATAAAAGTGAGACAAACAATACCGGAAAAAAAAATGAAAGAGGTGCAAAGCGCAGTTTTAAAAAATACATAAGTCTCGAAGGAGAGGATGCAAGAACGAGGTATCAGGAAGAACTTAGTAAAGCGCTAAAAAATTTAGAAGTCAAAGAGGTGGAAGAAATGTGGGAAAATATAAAGGAGAAAATGCAGAAAACTATAAAGAGTAGCAAAAAAGAAATTGGAGTAGAGAGACGCAGGAAAAAATGGTACGATGCGGAGTGTGAAAGAGAATTGGAGAAAAGGAAAAAACTAAGACTGAAAATGATAGAAATAGAAACGGAAGAAATAAAACAACAATATAAAATGCAAAGACAACATTGCAACAGACTAATGAGAGAAAAGAAAAGGAAATATAACGAAGAAATTGTCAAGGAAATGGAAAAAGAATTTAAATTGAAAAACATCAGAAATTTATATCAAGGACTCAGAGCAGAAAAAAGAGGGTTTGTACATAAAACAATAGCATTCAAGAACAAAAGTGGAGAATTATTATTAGACAGTAACAAAATAGTAGGAAGATTTGTGGAAGTTTTCGATGAGCTACTAAACGTCCAGGAGGATAGGGATGAGGAAGAACAGGTGCTGGAAAATTATGAGAGACAAGTACAAGAAGAAATTGAAAAACCACCATCTAAAGAAAAAATAAGACAGATAATCCAGAACTTGAAGACCAAAAAAACTCCAGGGATAGATGAAATAACAAATGAAATGTTTAAATATGAAGGAGAAGATCTCTGTGATAAGATCCACAAGTTAATAGAGAAAATTTGGACACAAGAAAAAATTCCGCAGGCATGGACAGAAGCAGCGGTCTGCCCCATCTATAAAAAAGGCGATAGATCGGAATGCGAAAATTACCGGGGAATAGCGCTACTTAACGGAGCCTATAAGATATTCGCTACTTATATAAAAGAAATTTTATCAAACCATATGGAGGAGACAATAGGAGAATACCAATGTGGTTTTAGAAAAGGCAGAGCCGCAACGGACCAGATTTTCACCTTACGTGAAATACAAGCAGAAAGTTATGAATACAAAAGAGACACATTCGTGTTATTTGTGGATTTTAAACAGGCGTACGACAGGATAAATAGAAATCAACTTTGTAGAGCATTGCAAGAACTAGGAATTAAAGGAAAGCTGTTAAGTTTGATACAACTATCCCTAAAGCATACTGAAAACAGAGTGAAGTTCCAAGGAAAACTATCAGAGAAATTTGAAGTGAAACAAGGAGTAAGACAAGGAGACCCGATCTCCTCAGTGCTATTTAATTACTTACTGGAAAAAATAATAAGAGAAGCAAAGATGAACAGAAATGGGTTGCTTTTCCACAAAAGACACCAGTGTCTGGCGTTCGCGGATGATATTGCAATCGTAACAAGAACACAGCAAGAACTGAAAACAAAACTAAAACAACTAGAGAGAGAGGCCCGAAAAGTAGGATTGCAGATAAACGAAAATAAAACAAAGTATATGACATGGACAGATAAAGAGTACAAAGTAGGCAATAAATTGACAATAAGAACAGAAAATAACAAAGTATACAATTTCGAGGAAGTAGAGGAATTCCGATATCTAGGCGCAGTGTTCTCCAGAAGGCCAGATATAAAAAGAGAGATACAGGCAAGACTGATGGCAGGAAACAGATGTGTACATGCAATGAGGAGACTTTTGAAAAACAAAGACATGACTCAATCACTAAAAATAAGGATTTA